CTCACAATGTGGGGGGCCCACTTTTTTATTTTCAATTTTTTATTCACGTGGAGCCGGCAATCATGTGAGGGTTTGTCAACTTTTTTGTCAAATTTTTTTTGTACAATTAGTTTTTTTCTATAGTTTATCACATTAAGTGAGAAACATTTTGTGGACGATTTTAACCATGTTACAATTCAATTATCAATAATATCTTACTTTTCGTTTTTCAATATATAATAAATAATACAAAATCCTTATCGTATATGAATTTCGTGTTATTAATTCTTAATTAATTAACATTCACGTTAATCTAAATTCATTAATTTTGACTTGATAAATCATAATCTATATGAATCTAGAGTTATTATAGATAAATTTATTTATATTCATGTATCTAACATTTTTAATGGGTGTTTAAATTCATGTGCTATCAATTAATTCTTACGTACCAAACGTAGTATAAAAAAATGTTCCTCATTTGTAGTATTTCATCGTCACAAAAAGTTGAATCATAAAAGTCGAGTTTTGATACTGAAATTTTATTTTATTTAGTTTGTTTGAAACTCATCAAATCCCCCAACAAATTTGTATCAAATATTACTTTTACAGCACTTGTAAAGTGTTTCAGAATAACGTGCAAAACGCGTTCAACTCGGATTAGTATAAATTCCGTGCAATTAATTCTCAATTAATTAATATTCACATTAATCTAGATTCAATAAATCTTGATCTACATGAATCTATAATTATTATATATGATTTTATTTATATTTATGCATCTAGAAATTTTAACGGGTATTAAAATTCACGTGTTAGTAATTAATTCTTATATACCAATGTAGTATAAAAAATGTTACTCATTTGTAGTATCATCATCCCAAAAAATTTGAATCATATACGTTGAGTTTTGAGAGTACGATTTTTCTCTTAAATTTCTATTCTCCCGTTCGGTAGGGATTAAAATCAGATTAAAATTGAAAAAATAGTCGTTATTGTTGACTTTTATTAGACGAGTGGGACCCAATAACGGTCATATTTTCAATTTTAATCCATACCGAACGGGACCTAAATTTCATTTTCTTTAGTTCTTTTGAGACTCGTCAAATCCTCTCAACAAATTGGCATCAAATATTTTTTTTACAACATTTATAAGCTATTCCACAATAACGTGCTTCAACTCCGATCAGTATATAAAATATTTGATGGTAAAATTTATTAAATGCGAAGAAAATGAGATGAAGTTATGAGATGTTACAATATCAGTTACATGCCCAGCAATCTAGCACCTCGGTTTACAATCTTACTACATGTACATCCTTGTTTACATCCTCACTTACCGAATTTATATTTAACACAACCTCACACGATCTTTCCCATCACAATCTTGCTACATGTACATGTACCTTCATTAACTCTAAATTAAGAATTACTCTAACGGAGTGATTTTTTGTTGCAAACCAGGAAAGGCGAGTGTTTGACGTATCCATAACAATAAATCTCGTCTTCACAAAAAAAATGGTCTAAGGTATCAAATGTTAGTTTCTGGAATTGCAGAATAACATTAGATGTTGCAATTTAGTGGGAAATTTAAATTCTTTTGATTTGTTAAGAACTATTGTTAATCCATAACAACACATTGAAATTCATTTAATTTCGATGGGTACCTGTGTAAATCTATTAGGTACATTTAGCACAACCAATGTTATCATTATTAGAGATAATAAGTGGCAGTTTATCCCATAATTCATTGTCTAATGAAATTATTATGCAAATTAATGCTTAAACAATGCATCTGAAGAACCACTCTAACCTAAACTAGTAATGATGCTTATTATTCTTGAAATATTCATATCTAGAGCATTTTTGTACTGAAAAAAAGTGAACTTAAGGGTTGAATCGACACAAAATAGTTTTATTGCTAGTTTGGGGTTTGACTCGACCAATCAACTTACAAAATTCAACCAACACACTGATTCAGGGACAGACGCAAAACTCTAAAGTTAGGGGGCACAATTGAACTTGCAAAAAAGTTGAGACAAATTTTACAATCGAAAATTTACATCAAAAGAAATCATACCCCATGTAATTTTGTATCCGAAAACTTATATGATATATGACTTTTTCGGATGTAAAATTTCGAACATTTTTAAAGTCATATTCCGTATAAAATTTCCTAATAAAATGATAAAAATTACATCGAGATATTTGTATCGCAAAAATAATAAATGTTAATGAAATAATTGTTTTTTTTTTTTTAAAGAAAATGCGAGTTAGACGTCTTTCTTTAAAATTCACGTTTAATGCATCTTTAATTATTTTCGATATTTGTTTGGACTATTCGATATGTCTATAATATAGTTCTTGAAATAAGCATTGGGATGACATAAACAATTTGTAGATTCGATTAGCTGATGATCGTTGGAGAATTTTTAAAGTGGCATGTTATCGAAATTTTCGAAATACTAATTTTAAATGATCTACTTTGTCAAGTCGTAACATTTGATATGATTGATCCTTTCGTACATCATTAATGATATAAAAATTAGACTGTGAGTACTTCGAAATAGTATTAAGAATGCAATATTTCGATTTCGTTTCACATCCCATAATGACTTCGAAAATTGAAACAAAAACAGAGAAAATTTAATGGTGAGAAAAAAAAAAAGCAAATTTGGGGTTGCGTCCGCCCATGTTGATGCATATTAATATTTCTTTGTGATGTGTATCCTACTTGTGACAGAAGCTCAATGTAACTTAAAAATTGCAAGTTAAAGGTGATTGGACCTTATTCATATATATGAGGAAAAGAAAGATTATCAGGAGAAAGTATCTGTATTTCTCGAGTCAGACTCTACTTTGTTTGCAGTACGTAGTTCATTCAGTGTTCTCTAATCGAGTTTCCTTTACTATCTTTATTGTTAATCAACAAGGTCTGTTTTTCTCTAGATTTCCTTTTGTATCTTTAAGGAAATATGGATTTTCTGTTAGGTCTTCATATTTTTTTGTTATCCGCTGGTAGAGCAGCAATTGTAGTATAAAATTGGTTACAAAGATGATAAAGATTTGGGATGTGGGAAGATACACGTGTTTAAAAATATTACCTTTTCTGTTTAGGTTCTAAACTCAATGAAATTGGATCTAATGCGTACCGGTGAAAGATTAAGAAGCTGACATCAAAGAAAGATGTTTCAGAAAATTCAAGGTTTGCTTACATCATGGCTTGATGTCCTTGGCAACAATGAAGAGAGAATAAAGCTTTGAGAGGGACTAGCAATTGGTAGCTTCGAGTGCTTTGATAATTCTGATGTTTGAATAAGCTGCTGCACCTAACACCCTTACCCTACTCCATGTGACATATTTTATTGATAGGGGAGAAAAAAATCAAAACATTTTGTTCTGTTAAAAATTTGAAATGTGGTGCCAATAAACAGGTAGGTTGTTTTTCAACTTAAAGAAAATTGATAGTTATAGGGGGAAACCATTTTTTTTTATATCGTGGTTGCTGGATATATGAATGCATTTTCAGTCTGCTGGAACTTTAGAAGGGCACATTGCAACTTCTCCTGAGCTAAACTCAACGGAGTATTATACCATTCTCCGAACCCACCTGACCTATATTACAGAATGTAACATAATTTCCATACCCTGTGAGGGGATTTTGGGTACGTAATAAGGAGCTCCTTGTGTCGAAAGACTGACTTTGACAATCTCCCAACTACGAAAAGAGATTAAGCCGAAAAACCATATACATAGGAATAATAGCATTTTCCCCTTTTGGAAAATCACTTCTCTCAATCGATTCCCATTGAATTGATAACTCTTGGCGATGTTGCATATCAAAACGGGCTTGGTGCTTTTGTTTTAAAAAGCCCTGGAAATGCTCTNCTTGGCGATGTTGCATATCCAATCGAAGCCACAAACTGTCATATCTTGTAATTGCAATGGTCCAGTCACATTTGAAAAAAAAAAAAAAAAACGAATGGGAACAATAGTTTGTTTGATTGTTTGGTTATATCAATGGTACTCCTAGACGAAGAAGAATTAATCAACTATTGCTAATAATCACACCACTCATCCAAACTATTCCATCCATTAGCTTTATGTGAATATTACTAGATAATAAACGAACGGAAGCAATAGTTTGTTTGCTTGTGTGGTTATATCAATGGTACTCCTAGACGAAGAAGAACTAATCAACTATTACTAATAATCACACCACTCACCCAAACTATTCCATCCATTATCTTTCTGAGAATATGACTAGATCATATCAATAAATTCCTCCCAATTTGTCTTCTGTATGCGCTACCATTTTATGATTTTGATCCTTTCCCATTCATTTATTCTTTTTTTCCCTCTTTACAATTCACCTTAGCATTCACAATTTTTTTTTTTTGGTTAAGTATCGATTAATATAGTTATATTCCCTTATCCAAAATATTTCAACGAAAGTTGAAAGAAAAACTGTTTGGAAATTAAGAAGAGAGGACCTTAGAATTTAACATTAGATGGTCATAGTCGCTGAATAAATTTATTGAAGGCAAAAATCTGGAACTTTAATTATGGATTAGTATCTGTTTAAGTTATAGATTTATAGGACTGCTAATGCCATTGGTATTGGCAAATGTCTGGAAAGGTTGACTTACTAGGAGGATCCAGGAACTGGTTGTTCTTGAATGGCCTTATAAGATGCTGTTGATATATAATTACAGAAGTTAAAAATCTATTCCACTAGGTGTATCCAGGAATTTTTGTTATGTGGGATCATTTGGTAATGATAATCATCTTCTTGTTGAGGCTGAGAAAGGATTAAATCTACCTGAAGTAAACCCTAGATCATCTTGCCGAAAGCTTTCTCAAGATTGGTTACTAGTTCAACAACCCAAGTTTGAGTATATTAAGTAGTTCGTTGAACCACCAAAATTGGCTTGATCTCAATTCTGTAATTTTATAATTAAGGTCTGTAGAAAAGCACCAAGCTAGTTGAACATGACTTGTTTCTGGCTTGATTAGACCTTGACTTTTGCCAATTAGGAAAATTATCCCTGCTTTTACTGAATCACGATCTAAATAATTTTAAGAAGTATCAGCTGAAGAATGGGTTATTTAAGCAAAATTTGAAACTGCATAATGTATATAATAGGATGATGAAATGTATTAAAATGTGTTTCATATCTGAAATTGTGCATAATTTACACTGTACTCGTTTCTTGAATGACATTTGGCACTTAATGACTTTCAATGACATTTCTACTACTGCTAAAGGGAAATTACACATAATCTGATATTTTGTCCCAGGTGTCTGAAGTGAGTTCACTCTTGGGCAGGGCGGGTACAGCTGGGATTGGGAAAGCAGTGGATGTGTTGGATACACTTGGTAGTAGCATGACTAATTTGAACCTCAGTGGTGGATTTGCATCTGGGATGGCTACCAAAGGGATTAAAATCTCGATTTTGGCATTTGAAGTTGCAAATACAATTGTCAAAGGTGCCAATTTGATACACTCCCTGTCAAAGGAGAACATTAGACATTTAAAGGAGGTGGTGCTCCCTTCTGAAGGCGTGCAAAGCTTAATATCAAAAGACATGGATGAACTCCAGCGAATTGCAGCAGCTGACAAGAGGTGTAGCTGTAGAAACAGTTAAATCTATTATGAAAATATATGCTCATATGATATCTGCATGGTATATGTAGTGATGAGTTGAGGCTTATTTTGTTTATGAATGTATCAGGGACGAATTGAAAGTCTTTTCGGGAGAAGTTGTCCGCTTTGGAAATCGTTGCAAAGATCCTCAGTGGCACAACTTGGATCGTTATTTTGAGAAGTAATTGCTACTATATATATATATATTTCCTTATCTGCTAGCATTCTATGTACTTGTTAATACATGAAATAAGATTTTCATTTCATTTTTAGTTCTCTATTGTGATTTTAGGTTGGAATTTGATTTCACACCTCATAAACAATTGAAAGAAGAAGCTGAAACGGTGATACAGCAATTGATGACTTTTGTTCAGTACACTGCTGTAAGTGTTCGCATTATTGGTAGTTCATTTTTCTACCTTTTTAACTTATTGAGTTGTTGGTTGAGGTTAGTATTGCAAGATTTCTTTTCTATCTGTATTTTGATTTTTGGTCATATTGAGGTTCCTGTAATATACCAAATTGACAGGGAGTGTTGAAAAGAAAATTTTAGAAGGTGAAGTGGTTAAAGATTTGAGAACACATGAATTGGCTGTCTCTTGACTTCAAGAGTGAACCAAATTTAAGTGAACAAAGATTTGAGGTTTTTTTTTCTTCTTTTTCTTTTCCTGTTTGTTTGAGAAATCCAAGACCCAGAATATTCATACCTTTGTATTTTGTTACATGGAATTGTATGCTTTTGTTATTTGCGGATAAAATCTAGAAACTGCCATATATAATTTATCAATACATTATGTTTTCTGTTTTGAAACTGCCACGGTGTTTTACATATAGAACTGTACTTTACATTACTGCTATATTATTGAGCTTTGATAAAGAGGATATCTAATATGTTTATATTGCAGGAACTGTACCATGAAATGCATGCACTAGACAGATTCGAACAAGACTATCGCCACAAGGCTCAAGAAGAGGATAACTCGAATACTGCACAGAAAGGTAATTATTTTCGTTTACCTGAACTGGTAATATTTTTGTTATCTTAATGGTTTTTTTTTTAATTTGTTTTTCAACATCTTATTCTTCTACGAGTAATTTGTGACTAACAGCGATGTTTGTGAGATTAAACAAAATATTTCTGTACTACTGTTGAACTGGTGAAAAACAAGGCAAAGTTTTTGTTTTTAGGTTTAGAAGTTCTGTCCTTGGAATTGTTATCATAGTTTAGTTTTCTGCTGGATCTGACAGAAACTTTAGGGAAAGTTACACCTGAGGTCCCCACCTTAGCGAAATGCAGACTTTGGTCCCCTTCTGAATTTTTTTTTTTTTTTCGCATTTGAGTCTCCAACCTTTCAATTTTGTGGAACTTGGGGACCTTGGTCATACTTTCCTGCAATTTTATATAGGTTCGGTATACTGGGGACATTTCCTGTACAATTATTTATTCCCAATTATCTCACCTTTAATTCTACATCAGTTTTTAGGGATGAAGGATCCCTTATTTCTTGGAGTTTGCACATTTTTAAAAAGATAATTGAAAGGCCTAACTCCCAAGACTAACAACATTTTTTTTCTGCTTTTCCTTTTTGCCCTTCATCTGCTTTTGAATTGTGATTGTTGACTTGAACACCTGAAATTTTGATTCATTAATATGCGGAACATATTTTGCCTATGAACCAAAATACTGAATTTCATGAACTTCTCTGTTAAAACCTTCATTTGGAAGGTCATGCTTTTCTTAAAGGTAATGGCTTATACTGGCCTTTGGCCCTGAAGAAGATTACCTTCTAATGCATGTTCAATATGTGGGAAGAGCGGAAATGTGAGTCCCATTTCTTCTTGCATTGAAATTTTTCCTAGTGAAACTTTTTTTTTTTGATAAATAATCTGTTCATCCACCTGTCTTTTATGCCTTATCTTCCATCAATAAAATTTGTTTCCCGCCCCCCCACCAGAAAAAGGATGTTGAAAATTTGGGCTATGTCCAATATAAATTGAATTGTGTGTAATTCGCTCATCTGGCTTGTGCTTATCAAGCATATGGCCCAGCGAATCCATGAAATCAATTAAGCTCTACATCTTTTGGGGAGTATTGGTACTTCTGTTTATGAAATTTTCAGAGATCAATTACTAGAATTACTGTACTAGCAGACGTGTGGAAATTATGACAACTCTCTTTTAACACTTGAAAGCCAAAAGTGGTTCTATTTTTGAAATGAGAGAATACATTATTTTTTTATCCTCAAGGTAAAATTTGTTTAAGTATTTGTCCCTCACTAACTCACTGCGGATGGTCTACCACATACGAAACAATACCCTTGTTGAACCCCGTTATCCAGTAACTCATTTTTTACATATTCATTTTCAACCATATATTCTATCAGTAACATAATTTGCACAAAAATCGAAAACTTTTTCTTATTTTTTAACCACACATTTTCCAAAAATTATTGTAACATTCATTTTAACATAAAACTGAGGATCAAACAAGGGCAATAATATATTTTTGATGGCTTCTCTTATTTTTTTGATAGTAAGACTAATAATCTCTTCGTCTATATCATTTGGTGAAACTTTCATTTCTTTCTTTGGCTTATCTGTATGAGTATAAAATTTTGATAAGGTCTACTACATTTTTTTCCTTTTGTATGCATCGATTTATGATAGCTGGTATAACTATTTACTTCCAAGTTGTTTATTTATGTTATTCTTCTTTGTTTCTCTATTTTTAATTGTTCCATCTTTGCTGCCGTGAAGGTGACAGCCTTGCAATATTGCGAGCAGAACTGAAGAATCAAAAGAAACATGTAAAGAGTCTGAAAAAGAAATCCCTCTGGTCCAGGATTTTGGAAGAGGTAGTGAATATTCCTGTTTTTATGCGGGTGCCAAGTGTACTGTAGACTAGGCTTTCTGTATTTGAATAGTGACTTAATTTTTAATTTTTACATGCAACTGGAGACAAGGTTATGTTCTGTAGTTACTTGTTTGTTGTCACTATAAATCTTTATTCTGCAACCTTACTAATTTATGTATGTTTCATTTATGTTAAGGTAATGGAGAAGCTTGTAGACATCGTCCATTTTCTAAATTTGGAGATCCATACGGCATTTGGTAGCTCTGGTAATGCATCGAAAATTTTCGGTATAGTTTAAACAGTTATGCTGGTCTTTTTATTTTAGTGTTCTTCTTTTTCTCTTAATATTCTACTCACTTGTTCATCATATAACCAAAAAAGGGATACTGAATTATGTAATATTTATTCAGATGGTGTAAAATGGGTTCATAATTTTATTTCTTTTTCATGCTTTTAAAATATAACTACATGCAGTTCAGTGTTTGAATGGTCCAGTAATTCCTGATTCAATTATTTAATAAAAGATGTGTATTTTGTTTGTTTGTTGTGCTATTGCAGATGGAGATAAGCCTGGAAAAAACCACCAGCAGAAGTTGGGAACTGCTGGCCTTGCACTGCACTATGCAACTATCATTACCCAAATAGATACACTGGTGAGTTCATCGTCCTTATTCTTGTTTCAATTTTACCAGTGAATTTCAGTTCTCTTTCTTTTGTTTTACTTGCTTGATGCCATGAATTTTATTTTCTTTTGATTCGATCTTTGTATATTTTCTCAATTCTGTTGCTCAATCCTTTTGAGAGTGTAAAATGGTACCCCATATAAGTATGAGATAACTTGCACCGAATTTAGGGAGTTCGCATTTTTATTTTTTGTGGTTCCGATTTAGTATGTTTCTCGGTAATCAGGTAACCCGATCAAGTTCTGTGCCACCAAGTACGAGAGATGCTTTATACCATGGACTGCCACCAGGTATAAAGTCAGCGCTGCGCAGAAAATTACAATCTGTTGAGCTCAAGGAAGAGGTACTACTTTTCTGAACCATTTCATCAGTAGAGACTTACAACCATACTCTGTTGTGTTATCAATTTTTTCTTGGATTCTTACCATTTCGTTGATTATGACCTGACTCCTGTTTATTTAATAAAATATTTTTGCTCTATGTATCTATGTAGATGACTGTTCCACAAATCAAAGGGGAAATGGAGAAAACTCTTCAGTGGCTTGTCCCGATGGCCACCAACACAACGAAGTAAAGCGACTCTCCCTGTAAACTACTGTTGATACTCGTAGATTGTTTTTAATAACAATACTATTATTTACCCCTTTGCACTTTCATGATTTTTATTTTTATTCCGTTAACACTCTCTCGGAACATTTACCCATACATGTTTACAATGTGGCATGACTCAAAAACAGGGCCCACCATGGTTTCGGTTGGGTTGGAGAATGGGCAAATATGGGGTGAGTTCGAGTCTTTTGGTGCTTGTTCTTTGCCTATATGATTTTTCTTTTTGTAATTGTTTTATTTTAATACCTGGTTTCACGCAGGTCTGAGTTGAGCCAAAAACCTGCTGGCCTGCCTGATTTACTTAAGATAGAAGCACTCCATCACGCAGATAAGGAGAAAACAGAAGCTTACATTCTTGATTTGGCGGTGTTGCTCCATCATCTTATCAGCCAATCTAGGACCGCAAATGTTGGACTTAGATCTCCGGTAAAATCCCCAATTCGCTTCCCTAACCAGAAGACGATTCAGTTGTCATCACACAAGCCGAGCTCGCCATCTTCTTCTGCTTTGACAGTTGAAGACCACGAGATGCTCCGAGATGTAAGCAAAAGGAAACTGACACCCGGAATAAGTAAGAGTCAGGAATTCGATACTTCAAAAATGAGGTTGTGCAAGCACCACAGGCTGAGTAAAAGTAGTAGTCATTCCCCAGCAAGTGAAACCAAAAAAGATCCTTTTCCTATTAGAAGGCCATCTTCTGTTCCCATCATTGACTTCGACATTAACTGGATCAAAGCGCTGGACGTCATGGATCGAGTGGATACAATTTAAAGATCAAAGAAAATGGTCCATTATCCATTATCCGAAGAGCTTGCGTTCTTCACCCGTCCTTGAATCGGGATAAAAAATCACAGCTGGGGTATGTTGAAGATGAGGAATTGTCTGTGCTTACTGTTTTGCTTGTGAATTTTGTGAAATGAAGATGGGTTGGGCTGGGGAGAATTTTGATTGCTTGGAAAGAGTGCCAATTAGGCTTTAGTTTTAATTAGTATGTGTACAGAATGCTCTTATAGTTTTCCTAATAATTATCATTCCTTTTTTAGGGTTTGGTCTGTTCTCTTCAGAATCTTTGTACTGTAGGATTATGATTAATGCCATCATATCTTGATTCTTGTTCTTCTCTTTTAATGATAGTGTTAAGAATATTGGGCCTAACTC